CATTGCGTTGACAATTTGACGTTTGATACACGCATAAAACGTCAAATTCTCAACGCAATGTCATAAAAATGCGAATTTCGCAGTTATGAGTACTAGGCTTAAGCCTAGTACTCATAACTGCGAAATTCGCATTTTTTTGACATTGCTTCGTTAAATTGACGTTTGATACACGCATAAAACGTCAAATTGTCAACGCAATGTCAAAAAAATGCGAATTTCGCAGTTATGAGTACTAGGCTTTATCCTGAGGTACGGAATCGCCCTCGAAGTCAGTTATTGAAGCTTTAAGCCTAGTACTCATAACTGCGAAATTCGCATTTTTTTGACAGAGAGAATTTGACGTTTTATGCGTGTATCAAACGTCAAATTGTCAACGCAATGTCAAAAAAATGCGAATTTCGCAGTTATGAGTACTAGGCTTTAAAAGCATATGAGGAGCTTTCCAGTGACCCCTTTGAGTTACTCCTGAGCAGCTCAGGAGTGCTTCACAATTACTTTGCGCGTTCCAGTGGTTAGAATGTCGTAAACTTGAACTACTTATTTCTGTTATCCCCTGCCCCCTCGTGCACCATCTTTATTTCGGTGTTCCATGCTCCTGGAGTCCGAAATAGTGCGGGTTAAAGCCTAGTACTCATAACTGCGAAATTTTTTTTTTTTTTTTTTTTTTTACGGATATGCGCACTCGCAAGGAAATGTCCTATCACGCTCGAGAAGCGGCAAGTGCGCGGAAATGTCGGTGTATGTTGGTCTTGAAACGGTTCAGGTTGTAACCTGCAGGGAAAACCGTCGCAGGGAGTTTATTCCACAGCGATGCTGTTCTCCAGAGATATGAATTCTGATATAATGAGGTTCTTGGTGCCTCTAGTTTGACAGTAAATTCATGGTTACCGTCTGTTTGACGGGTTCGCCTGGTAGGTGCTACTCTCGGTGGAATCATACGTGCCAACTCTTCAGAGCATTTTCCGTGATAGTACCTGTAGAAGAGAGATAAATCGCCCACCGTTCTGCGATGTTCGAGACCATCCAAGTTACGAGTAAGTGCGGGGTCATTGATCAGCTTGATAGCTCGTTTTTGCACGGTATTCAAAAGCATTAAGGTATGTTTGGGTGCTGCACTCCATATATGTGAGCAGTACTCCATAGTTGGTCGAATCTGGGCTTTGTAGAGTGTCAGCAATTGGCTTGGTGTGTACAGATGTCTTGTACGAAATAGCACCCCCAGCTTTTGGGAGGCCCTTTTAGCAATATCTGCCACGTGACTGTGCCAAGACATGTTGGTCTCTGCAGTAACCCCCAAGATGTTCAACTGACTCTGTAATGTGACAGCACTTCCAGATAGCATGATGTTTGGCTCACCGGTGCTGGTCTTTTTTGAAAACAGAGCTGCTTGGGTTTTCTGCGCGTTGAACTGTACAAGGTTTTTGTTACCCCAGTCCTCTATTATCTCCAGGTCGTTATTTATCTGCGATATTTGAGTTAGTCTAAGATGATGGAATTCACGTGCGGAAAGACCTGTCGGTGGTATGAGTGAGGAGACTACATTGCCATCGTCTGCAAAGCAATAAAGTGGATTTACTGTTTTATCTATGAGGTCATTTATGTAAATCAGAAAAAGAGTTGGCGAAAGGATTGCTCCCTGTGGCACACCAGCATTTATTTGGTAAGAGTTGGAGTTCTGGCCATCCAGTGCAACATAAATGGATCTGTCCTTTAGGTAACTTTCAAACCAAGTGCAAAGTTTCGGCGATAATCCCATTGCTTTGAGCTTGTTGAGCAGATTTTCATGCCAAACTTTGTCGAATGCTTTAGATATATCTAAGGCAATTGTTCTTGTTTCACCCCGCAACTCAATCGCTTTTTACCATAAGTGAGTGACGTATGTAAGTAAATCGCCAGTTGACCTATATTTTCGAAATCCGTATTGCTTATCGTTGATAATTTTGTACTTTTCCAAGTACTTGGTTAGGTGATTGTTCACAACTCTTTCCATTACTTTTGATATCACCGGAAGTAGAGCAATTGGTCTATAGTTTAACGGATCTGTCTTTTTTCCTTTCTTTGGAATGGGTTGTACTGCGGCAGACTTCCATGATGATGGATATACTCCTTGCCTGTAAGACAAATTGAATAATTTTGCGAAAGTTGGGGTGAGTTCGTTGGCGCAATTTTTGAGTACTATTGCGGGAATGCCATCCGGACCCATTGCTTTGTTTGTATCCAGCTTTTTTAGGGATTTTCGTATTTCTCTGTGATAAAAGGGTACCTCTGGCATACTATGGGAAACCCTTTCAATGAACGGTGGAGTTTTTCCGTTTGGCACTGTTAGGTTGGAGTTGGAGGAAAACATTTGGGCAAGCATATTGGCTTTTTCCTCTGATGTTGTGGCTAAGTGATTATTTTTATCTGTAAGTGGTGGTATGGATGACTTGGTGAAGTTAGATCCAACAGCTTTTGCAAGAGACCAAAAAGACCTAGAACTACTTGGACAATTCAGCAACCTGTTTTTTATTCTTTGATTGTATGTTTCTTTAGCGGAGTCAATAGTAATTTTGCAACTATTTCTGGCTTCTATAAATTCTGTGTGGTTTTGAGCGGTTTGCTGTCGTTTCCAAAGGTTATATGCTCTGTGTTTTTTCTGTACAGCCGTTTGACACTGGCTGTTGAACCAAGGTTTTGCATTAGCTCTACGTTTAGTTGTATGTGGGATATATGCGTCCATTCCAGATAAGATTACTTGTGTTATTTCATTACAGCAAATAGTGGGATCAACTGTTTTAAAGCAAACCTCTTGCCATGGAAAATCCAGGTAATACTGTTTTAGGTCATTCCATTTTGCCGATTTATAGTGCCACATTTTACGAGGAAGTGGTTGTAGGCTTGGTGGGATGAGCATTTCGCACTTTGTTATTATAAGTTTATGATCGGACGAACCAAGTGGAGCATCTACTTGAATTGTGTACGAGTCAGGATTGGTGGTTAGGAACAAGTCTAAAAGCGCTGCAAATTCGCCCCTTTCTGAGATACGGGTAGGTTCATCGACAAGCTGCTTTAGACCACAACTTATGGCAAAAGCTTCTGCTTCTCTGCCTTCGTTATCTGTTTTGTTGTGGTGTTTCAGCCAGGGTATATTGTGGACGTTGAAATCGCCTAAAAAGACAATTTCCGCCTGTGGATAGTTTGACTGTATACTATCACAGCTTTCGGATAATGTCGCGAAAAAGTTTTGGTAATCGGTGTTACTTGGCGGTCGGTAGAGGCAGCAGATAAACTTGGTCGATGACTTTGAGGTGAATTTTAGCCATATGATATCAAGGTTCGCTGGTTCTAGCTTCTCCTCTCGATGACATGAAAGGTCATTTTTAATGTACACACAGATCCCAAAATTATGTCGAAATCGGTGGTGTAGGTCATAGCCGGGATAAAGATAGTTCACAATAGGTGTTGCAGAACTGATTTTAGTTTCAGTGAGAACAAGGATGTCAGGTCTTTGTTCTTCAAGATGTTGGTGAACTGAATTCATATTTGTACTTATTCCTCTTATATTGCTAAAATCAATTCTGAGTTGAGTTTTTGATCTTCTCTTTATATCTTTGCATGAAGGACCCCCAGGATCACCCGACGCCCGGAGATCCGAGTGGTCGGGTATTTTACCTCCGGAATATTTTGATCCTGGAGGCGCCATCATGCTATCTGTTACTCATTGTTGGAACCGGACTGCCAGCGCAGTAGCGGAACGTGGTGATACCACTTAGCGCTACTCAATTCTGGCATGGTGGTATCTCACCGGTCGACGCCCAATGAGTAAAAAGCGTCTACCACCTACAAGTTAATAGGTAGGAAATTCGCACTTTTTTGACATTGCTTCGACAATTTGACGTTTGATTCACGCATAAAACGTCAATTTGTCGCAGCAATGTCAAAAAAGTGCGAATTTCGCAGTTATGAGTACTAGGCTTAAGACGAGAGCGTTCCAATGCTGCTGTCGAACAGTTCAAGAGCATCACACTCCAGGAGCATGATACTCTAACAATTTAGGCACTGGAAAGCAGCTCTGATCAGCATGCCTGATAACTTTTATGACGTCATCTGGGGTGCCTTAAAATAATGCAAATCTCCACAAGGCACCACAGATTACGTCATCAAATTACCAAACAACCTATTAACTTTAGGAACCTTGCCTGCTTGCCTCACGCCCGCACCTCAGTTAAGCAGGTTAACCACAGGTTAACGCACTGCAATTTCCTAAGGTAAATATTCTTTTATGAAACTGTACGGAGGTCGGGTTGATGCAGTTACCATTGGCACTCCCAATTTTGCCAAAATGATTTTCAAGGCAATCTTTGGTTTAATCTTTTTGTAACTAAATATTCGAACCCCGCAGTGTCATGGAGAAAATTATATAAATCTATAACACTGTCTATTGGAATTTTTAATGCACCATTAATGAAATTCATTGATTCATAATAGTTGTTAAATATTAATTATTTCTGCCCCGAACCTCAACCTTTTCAAATAAAGTCTAATTGAAAAGATGTACCTTTAATTGAAAGCCACATTATACCTATCTTTTCGAAGAAAAAGTTTGGGATGATTTTAAAATATCAAAGAGCTCATCTATTGTGTTAACAAATTGCGCAGTTTCAGAAGCTTCCGTAGGACTCAAATTTAATATAGAGTAACCAGTTTATGTAATTCGTGGTTTCTATTCCTGGTCCTATTTTAACTGCTCTTTCCTTAACCCAAGCTCGCTTGCTATGCGTTTTTCAGGAAAATAGGTATCGCGCGATGAAAAAGTTTACTTGAGAAAAAACTGTATCCAGAATATTAAAACACTGAATTTTTCAGGTGGATTCTCACGACACTTCAAAGACTATAGCCTTTTCCCCCAAGAAACTTCTTGCAATTATTTTGTTAGAAAATTCTTATTCTACTGGACTATTAATGGAAAAGCCCAGTTCCTGGGGGTTCGAGTTTTGTGCGCAGGTGCCATATTTATAATTCTACCATCCAGGAGTCCAGGAGTAAAATTGGAATAATTTTGATCTGAAAGTGATCTGAAATATTCTCAGTTTCAATTATTTATTATCAAAAAAAATCCTATTGAAAAATCTAATTTTTGGAAGTTTAAACTGTCTGTAATAACAATATAACCAATAGAAGTGCTGGCAAGTAGGTAGGTACTCTCTTTTATTATTATTTTTTTTAATTACCTTTGTTGGGGAGGTATTTATAGAAGGACTGGAATTTAAAAATTAGTTAATAATCAAGTAATTAGTAGTTGCCTCTGATAGGGCAACCTCAAATACAAAGAAGTTTGTTTGCAGTGATTTAAAATTTATCAAGAAGCAACTAAATTTGTTGATTACCAATGCAAAAAATTCTGCCTCTTGATTGGTGAATAGGTTCAACGATTATTGATTTTATAAAAAATAAAATAAAACAAAAATAAGCACTCTCATTTATTCTTTTAGTCTTGGAAATTTCATACAATGAATTGAAAATATGGCTGATTTGGATGAACTTCCATCTGACCAACACTTTTGCTTAAGATGGAACAACTTTCAAGCAAATATAACATCACAGTTTGATGCATTAAGATGTGATGAGGAGTTCACAGATGTTACCATTGCTTGTGATGGCCAACAACTATTGGCACATAAAGTTGTGCTATCGGCTTGCAGTCCATACTTTAAGGAACTCTTCAAGGTATGAACGTACTATAATTACTTATACCTATCAATTATTATTCACATCCATATGATAATCTATAATATCTAGCGGTGTATGGTGCATGCTTACATATAGGTACTAACGAGGGTACTAACTATTACTAACCAAATTAAGAATAGGTAGTTCAAACATTATACCTACATGTGTGGATAGGTATTTCCTCAGATATTTATTAGTTTTATCAAAGTCTAGCCATTAGTTGGGTTTTATGTAAATATTCTCAGAGGGTATTTTAAATCACACTTTTGGCAAGTATAGCATAAGTACTGTAAGTGTATATAGTATTAACCTTTGCTTCTGGTATTAAATAATAAATTACATAACTTACAAATTGGTCTGCAAACTGAAATATTTCAAGTGAGAGTTGTTGGGTGAGATGTTTGGGTTAGTTCGAGTTACCTCTCTACAATAAGACCATTAGGGAACTCAAACTTTAAACACAGTGGATTTATATGAAATCATCGCTGGAATTTGGATTGAGTTGATTTTTAAGTCTGGTTTAGCCAGAGCTTCATGCATAATGGACTCGATATTGAATAATTTAGGACCTAATGCAGAACCGAGTACTGAACACATAAGTCAGAATAGTAGAGTGCCAGACAATCTTAAGCTTTCTGTGGGTGGCTGTGTCACAAGCCAAACTGCTATTGTAAACTAATATTTTGGAGATTCTAATTCTGCTGTAATCCTAAATTAGACCATGCAGAAGGGCAATATTTTTGAAAAATGAGATATTGGTATAAAAAAAATACCAGTTAGATTGTGAGATAGGGACTGTTTAGTGGAGTAATTTTTTTTTTGTCTGTTATACAGGGTGTTTTGCGGAGGGTTAGCCCAATTCGAAGATGTTTTATTAATACACTTGTAGCCTTAAGTTCCCGCTTTTTTTTTTATCATTGCTTTCATATTGTTCATAAGAATTTTCAAAAATGGACCTTTTAACTTGTGTAACTTTTTTTTAAATGTTTATGAAATTGTTTTTTTCGTGTGTTTTTGGTCTGTAGGGTATCCTTGATCGTGAGGAAAGTTACAGTTGAGAATAATACAAAAGCAATGATATAAAAACAACGGGAACCTTAAGGGCATTAGTGTATGAATAAAATATCTTCGAAATGGGCCTATTTATACACCCACCAAGTTTGGCTAACCCTCCGCCAAACACCCTGCATAAATTCAAGATTCAAGTAAAGTTACAGTCTTATATCTTATTCTGCAAAACTTGCAGTAGATATGGCCTTTCTGCACAATTCAAATTTAAGAGTTTAAAATTTTTATTTGCTTATTGTTTCAGTCGAATCCTTGCTCACATCCCATAGTGTTTATGCGCGATGTAGAAGCGCGCCATATCATAGCTTTAATGGAATTTATGTATGTGGGGGAAGTGAATGTATCCCAAGCTCATCTTTCAGCATTTCTCAAAACAGCCGAGTCATTGAAAATTCGTGGACTCACTGACACATCTTCTGATTCTGATAATGTGCAGGAAGAAAATAGTTTGTATTTGAAGCCTCAAGCTTTGCGAGTTTTACGGTAAGTTTCCTTTGCTGTTTCTAAATTTTCTTAATTAGATGAAATAATTTGTTTTATTAGAAGTAACCTACTAGTCAATAAAAATAGGCAAAAAAATATACAAATGATTCCAACAACTTCTAGTCAAGATGTACCTATAGATAAACCAGATATAAATATACCAAATGTTTCTAGTCCTGCGCCAAAACGAAGTAAATCTGAGACTGAAATTAGGTAAAATTTTATTTAAGCACCTAGGAGTAAAATCTGTTTTCATTTTAAATTATTAATAATAATTATACAATTAGCGTAGGTAGTCTTTTAATACCTCCACAGTATACCGTGCGTTCGTTATTTTGGTCTGAGTTCTCCGAGCTTGACTTTACCGTTCGTTTATTTAAAAAGTGTACTCGGTGCAACCTCATTCGCGTTCATTTATTAAAATTTTTGGCACTTTTATACAGCGTACAACTGCTCTGTTCGCTCGCTGGTCACGTGAGTACGGCTCCGCTCAGCACGCTCTGCTCTTTGAGCAAAATATCGAACGCAAGGATAGTGTAAAACAACATCACTAATATATTTTCACATTGGTTTATAGAATCGAATATAATTATATGGAGCACCGCTTGTAGAGTGGCCTGAATGTCTCTAAGAGCAGGGTCATTACCTGACTGTTAGGGACCTAGAAATTGTGATCAGTTTACCAGTAAATATGTCATTGAGCTGCTTTAATAATCCTTTGTCAGAAAAATATAAAAAATAAAACTAGATTATGGATGGCTTTTATGGTGGAGGCTGTCAAGGCGTATCATATGTTTGGAGAGGATGGTATCTATGTAACTACCTTGATACAAGTTTAGAGCATTATCTTTCCTTGAAATTTTCTTAACCAGATTTGAGAAACTGCCACTTTCAGCACGCAAGGACTGTCAGTTTTTTTTGTAAAAGAAGTAACCTTGTATGTTTTTTGATCCAAACCATACAAAAACCTGTTCACTATAAACCTAACAAGATTTTGTACCAAAGCCTGTGATATAAGTAGTAACCAGTAGCCACTATTATTGTTTTTTTAAACTTTTTCTCCTTAAATTTCCAATCATAAATAAATACTTCTTGAGCCACATTAATTTATGTTTCGTTTTTTTTTTGTTTTAGTTTTATGTTCCTTCATTCAGCTATGTTTTTTTTTTATCAGTCTGGTTCTTCTGGGTCTGGGTCTTCATTCTTTATTTCTAGTTCTATTGAAATATTTGTTGTATGTGTTTTCTAGCTTCGAATGAGTTTTGGTTAGAGCATATTGTTTGTTCAATTTTTTTTTTCTGAATTTCCGTGTAATATAAATTTTTGCTGATATTGTTGTGAATTTTCTACTAGTGAGTCTATCATTGGAAATAAAGTAATGGCTACGTACTTATGGAATACGTTTTTAACTTGAAAGTGATTTACCTATAGTACTGATCAACTACAATTTATAATAGGTATTATTCAAATTTGTAAAATAGTTTATAAAAAAAACTTTGGAATACCCCCAGTGTTGGAAATTAAAGGATTTTCAGACAACTGTCACTATATATTTATCTCTTTGTCCCTATCTCTTCAATTATCTCTAAGTATTTAATTCGGTACTTGACAATTATTTAACTTTTCACTATAGCCGTAGTTCTCGCAGCACATTTCTCCCCTAAACCACATCCAAATCGAACAAATCTTTAGAAAACTTTATCAGATCACATTTTTTTTGGTTTGTTCCGTATGGTTACAAACTAAAGTGAGGTCCATAATGAACATCTGTTAGGTTTGCCACTTTTTTCAGCACTGTTGATATGTTTTCTCCTATGTGCATGTTTTAAGTTCCTATACACATTTCAAACAAATTCTTTTTGCTTTATACAGCAAAAATAGTTATTTTTTGTGTGAAGTTCCTTGACATAAATCTTTTCTCAATTCTAAACTAGTGGCTTCAACAATTTCGTTCTAATAACAATTTCAACACTGCTACATTACTTACTTATCCATAGCCTCCAAGTCCAAAGCCAATGAGCAGTATTCTCTTACACTTCCACAGAGAAAGCTTTATCAGCGGAAACTATCATTATTGTGGTTAGTGAACTGTATGACTCGCATCAAAAGGTCAAAAAAACTAAGAAGTCATATCTTTAATGAAATATCATGATAAACACTGGGAGGGAGGAGGAAGCCTTGTGCAGCACTGTGAATGATGATTTGGAAATGTATGTAAGCTGGTTGTATCACAATAAATTGAAAATAAATATAGAAAAAACCAACTTTATGATAATTAAACAAAAAAATAAACAACTACAGGAAATAGATATAAAAATTAACAACGTTAGGCTTAATGAGGTTCAATATATGAGATATTTGGGGTTAGTTATTGATAACAATCTAAACTGGTCAGAACATATAAAGCAGATCTCTGACAAAGTAACAGGAATGATACCGGTAATATATAAATGCAGGGATTACTTTTCAAAAAAAACTAGACACAGTGTGTACAATGCCTTTTTCCTCTCTCATTTTCGATATTTGCTGCCGATATGGGGAACATGCGGAAAGACGATGTTTAATGCAATTCAAATAATACAAAACAAAATTCTGAAAGTTCTGTTCAAATATGATAGACTAACCTGTACAGAAACTTTATATAGAGAATTAGAAATTTCAAAGCTTGATAAAATATTGGAAGTGGAACAAATTAAACTTATATACAAGATCATAAATAAAACAAAAAGTCTAATATAAATATTGTATTTTCAAATAATGTTCATAGTTATGATACTAGATCGCAGGAAAATATTTACCAGATAGCAGTAAGAACAAAAATAGGTTTAAGTAATCCTGTAATACAAGCAAGTAAAGCATACAATCAAATACCGGAAAATATTAGGAACATAAAAAATTATAAATTATTTATAAAGCAAGTAAAGTTAAATTTAGAAATACCTATTATATAATGGTGAAATACAATATTATAATATTATAGAATCCGTCCAGCACTGTAGCATAGTTTTAATTGTAGTATTCTCGGGGCCAGAGCTTCAAGCACTGTTCAGAGAATTATTAATTTATTGTTATAAAAAAAATTTGATAAATAAATAAAGAATATTTTCAAAACAAAAAAAAAACAAATAACAATGAAGAAAATATTTCTTACCCATGGAACACAAAACAAATAAAAATAAATATCCAGCATCCATATGTAAATCCTAAAGAAGTCAATAGTTTGAAAAACAAAATTAAAACAACTAACAACAAATTGTAATCTAGCAAAAGTAGGTACTTGTTGGTTTCTTAACAGATTTTACTCCAGTACATATTAAGCTTTGTCCAAGTTTTATTTTTTTATTGATAGGTTAAGAAAAGATGATTCAATGACGGTTAATCCCTTTGCTTTACAAAACGAATCAAGAAGTCCAATAGAATTGATGCCTAAAGTGGAACTGCCCGAGTATATCAGTGATGAAGATAATGAGCCAGATGATAACTCTTTGAATTTTTATCCTGGAAATGATACTGGAGATATACCAAGTAAGATAATTTAATAAGGTAGTATACTTTGATCAAAATAAATGTACGTTAAAATACAGTAAAGATCTAGTTTGACCAAACTACAGACCAGACCTGGACTTTACTCCTGTTTTAGGAAATTTACACTGAAGTTAATTTCAATAATGGCCTTTATAAAAGCTATAATAAGTTAATGCATTCTTTATTTTTATCTGGGATAAATGTTGTAGGTGGAATTGATATAACTGGCCAAGGTTCAAGCTTTAATGGAAAGGATATAGGATCAGAGCTATGTTCTCAAGGTATGTAGGAGTTGACTTCGATTTTTAAATTCCACAACACATTCAAAACTGAATTCCCAAAATTCCCTTAAACTTTTTTAATTTGAGCAACCCCATATCTCTAATAATAAACAAGATTCCAATATAGAGACTCGAATTTTGGACACTCTGTATATATTTTTAAAGTAATCCCACCTATGTTTTATTTCAAATTTAAATTTATTTTCATAATTTTTTTTTTAAGACAAATCTAAAAAAAAACAGAAAAAAATTCTACAATCAACACATAGGTAGGTAATTCCCATTTATTAAGACAGTAACACGTAACAGTACTGGAGTACCTAAGTTGGTCATGCAAAAAATTGTTATAAGAAAACTACCTACCAAAACCTCAATCTCTTGCTGTCTGGATATTATTTGAATAAGCTGTGATTGTTAAATTTACATCTTGAACCACACTAAAACGACATAGTCGAGCGGTTCACTTGAATAGATATTCAGCACTTGTCCTTTCCCACTCCCACTGCCTGATGTCTAAAATTATTGCAGGAATCAAAAATAACACAATTATCTGTTTATTTTGTTGAGTTCAGACTTATATGATTTCGTTTAGGGCTTTTTAATTATTTTTCTTCTGCAATTGCACGATTATAATTGTATACCAAAATTAATTCAATGCTTCTGTAATCGTGAGTGGAAGATAATATTGATCAAAGAGATGGTTGGCTGATTTCCTTCGAAAAGTCACATTAAGGCCATTAGTTATTGAATCCACAAGTAGTGTAGGGGATGTAGTTTATTTGTGTCATTCAAACCTGACTGTATTTAAATTATCGTCTATATCATGCACATTTTATGTTTGTCTTGCTTGCAACAAAATCTAATTTTTTAAATTTAAACTTTTCTTTGTTGCAGGCAAGACCAACAGAAAGCTGCACTCATTGGATCCAAGACCTTGCGACGAATGCGGAAAAGTTTACAGTAGTCTTTCGAATTTACGTCAACACATGAAACTGATTCATTATCCAACTTACGTTTTTTGCGATCAATGCAACAAACAATTCAAAACTGATCTGTATCTAAGAAGACACATACTGAATGTGCATAAGATTTGTGATGTAAAATTTAGAAAAACTATTGGAAGTGCCTAGTTGTTAATAAAATATTTAATGAACCTATGTATTTTACTTTGATATGACGTCGTTTGAAATTCTAACAACCATGCATGCCTGAGAAGTTTTCATAATTCTAGGAATTGTTAATTTTAGAAGCTAGGAGCTGGCATGATTCCAAATTACTATACATCTTATTTTTATCAAAAAACGGCAAATTGTTGTTACAAACCTGAAATTTGGCATGGTTGTTTTTTAAGCCATTCGATTTTCTAAATAATTTAAATCAATATGCCCATTATTTCTAGACAGTTACTAGTTTACCGTTCTTTCAAAACCCGTTTTTATTTGGTATTTAATGGTAATTTTAAATTTAGCTTGTTTATAACGCATAGTCAAGAAAATGCAAAATAATTAAAACATTGCTGCTACCACTATTTCTCAAAATACAACAACTTAAGCGTTGCACTGCGATAATTTTGAAAAACAAAAAGCTTAGGTTGAAATAGCAACTTCCCTCAGCTTGGAATTTCACACAATTTCCTGAGAAAGCACTCTCTGGTCCTCACAAGATCCTGGAAAAATCTAAATTAGATGCTTGTGAAGCTATTTTTATGGAAATAAATATCAATGATCCTGCCTCTTTCTTGCTTAATTTGTTTCAAATATATAGGACTGTATGTCGAAAAACTGCTTTTTAGCCTAGCAGTAGCAGCTATAGTAAATAATTTAATCCATGTTTTCAAAAATTCCAAAATCCATGTGTTGTTATAATAAAATAATTTAATAAATTCTTCTCATAAAATTTAATGCATTTTCATGAGCTAACTCGGTAGAATATTTCTTTCAGGGTGTTGATTTTCATAAAGGTTTTTTGAGATTTAGAATAGCTTTGGAAAACTTTCTTCAAACAAAATGCTTGACATTCATTTCTTTTTTTCACTTCTAATCGTCTAACTCTTAGCAGAGAATCTCACACTAACATGTAAGCCTCTAGATCTGATTTAATTTGAAATTTTTGTAAATTATTAAGGTTTCAGAATGCGAAGACGCAGAATTTCAGACCATTGGACACCCTATAGCTTCCATCAATCCAGCGGCACCCCAAGTGCATTTTATGATATCCCCCCAAGACTCTTTGAAAAAAGAGAACCTGAAAGAAGAAATAAACTGGTACAAAAACATTTCTTATGCTTAGTTACAATTTTTAAATTTGTATTTTCCAGATAAAACTTGGCGAGGGTATCGAAATTTACGAAGACCAGTTGCGCAGCATAAAATGGAGCGATTACAGGAAACTCACCAGAGGACTGGCTACTATTTTATTTAGCCCTGCTGAATTGGCTACATGCTCCGTCACTGGTCAGAGGTGGAGTAGAGCTGGCAACGGGGAGAGGCCAGTGAAACCAGCTCTGGATAGGGCAAAAGTTCAAGCAATTATTTGTAAGTGCATCTTGACATTATACCAGATTAGTTGAACGTCGTAAATGTAAATGGCCGATTATCTCAAACAACGGAGAATGTTATAGTTGCAAGTGCCCGATTTAACCGTTATCCAAGTTTATAGTTTTCCGCATGTAATATGCCGTTACATATCATCAACTATTTGGGAATCATTGACAGTTACTCGAAAGTCGCGCAATGACAATTTCAAAAACCTTTGAACGTAGATTTATGAAATTGAGTATACAAAGATTACTAATTATGCCCGATTTATGATAATAATTAATAATAATAATAACCCCGATCAGCAATTGTCTACATTAGTTACATATTGCTCAAGGTGTATAAATTCCAAATTTCTCTACTAAACATATAGGTATCTCAGTATTATTAGCTACATTTGGCAAACTTAACTTTTAAATCCCTTATATAATTTTTCAATTCAGCGGACACAAACCCAATCAAAGTAAATATACATATTAATCGTTCGAGCATTCAATAATAAATTATATTGATTCCTAATTTATAGCAACTTTGAATTTAATACAAGACGAGTTCGAATAATACGTCGGATGCCTCGGAGGTACTCCAACCCGTTCGTTTATTATTTTCGAGCACTCAGAGGTGCGTTCTTTTTTGACACGGGGAGGCATTTTTGTATCGAGCGTCCAGCAACCCGCATTCGGGGTACCCGACCTCGGCACGTATCAAGCGCACGGTAGTACGAAAATCACTCGGACTACCGTATGCTCGATACTCGCGCCTACAGTCTCGAATATCTTTTTGAGTTTTCCTGGCTCCTCACCATCAAGCTACTTGATAATATGTATTAGTTTAATTTTGGTTCTGGTAGTCAAATCGTAAAGCAATTTTAATTCTAGTAGTTCACTAAGTGGAATGGAAAGTAGCAAAAAACTTAAAGATTAATAAGATTTTGCTATTTGCCTAGTTATTTGATGCTGTCTCTAACAAACTATCCCAAACTAACCCTAAGGCTGTCCTTACCTTAACCTTTTGCTCAGCTCCAATTTGGGTTAGTTTTGGTTAGTTTTGTTACTTAGAGACAGCATCATAAATAATTATTTACATCTGCCTGAATCTAATCTCCGCATTTGTCAAATAACGATTGCTGGTATACAAATCCCTAAGTAAATAGCAAAAATCTTGTTAATTTTTACCTGCTTTAAAAATTCGATTTTTAAATCGTTCTAACATATTTCAAAAAATAGGCGTTTTTTTTTGGAGAAAAAAGTATACAGATGATAATGTCATTGGAAGAATGGCTAACACAATAATTCAAAAATGTTTTCGAAAAAACGTGAAAGTGGCCTATTCTATCTGGCCATGGTATTCTATTCATGGTAAGGTTATGTAGATAAAACATAATTTTGCTCTTACTTATTCCCTTACCTCGACTTCCTGCTTAGTCTTGAAATTAGTTCGTATTTCGCTGGAATCGACAATGTGGTACATATAATTTTCTGGCCAGTGCATAATAAATGATAAACAATTTAAAAAAAAAAAAACAGAATTGTTGGACGCCGATCCATAATTTCGCAGAAGACTAGTATCAAGCGTACGGTAGCTTGACAATCGATCGGGAAATCAGACGCTCGTTATGAGACAGGCCTCGGTTAATACGACGTTACCCGAATGCGGTATACTGGGCGCTCGATACAAAAATGTATCCGGGAGGGTTTAGATGCTCCTCGATTTGCTCGGACGTTTTCGACCGACGATTCAGACGGATGAAAATATTTGACGTTTCATTCTCACAATTTACATTATTTCCCCGCCCGCAGCCGCTTCCCGCGACCAGTCAAGTTAGGTGAGTCCAGTGGTAGTGTTTTGAACAAAACAGCACGTTTTATCTGTTATAAATTTAATCCATTCTCAAAATAATTAAGGGAAATAGGGAAATGGATATGAAAAATTGACAATGGATATGAAATAAAATCTGGAATAAAATACAAATTAAATATGTTTTTACAAAAATAGGTTAGGATTACCGAAACATATGGCCAAAATAAACATCAGCTTAAAAAGAGCGTTCGAATAAAACGGAGGAAATCGAGCACATCTGCGCCCACGTGATCGAATATCCATCTCATCTAGATCTCATCCGCGAGGTAATATTCGAACTCGTCTACAAATAGGTTATCACAAAAAGTGAACTATCACAAGAATTGACCCCTGAGCTTTATGTGAAAATTGGGGTATGCAGAAAACATGTCTATCTGGTCATGAGAATTTGCGAACCTAGAAGCCCTGCACAGCAAGTTGTTATGTGCATAGTTAGTTCTGTACATTGGAACAAAGAATCTGGAAGTGGATCGCGTGAGTCTAGAGAGGACCTGGATTTTTACTCAAGTTACAAACTTGAGGTTCTCTAATGTTAATTTAAACTAAACATCTCTATAAACTATATTCTTAGAAAAAAATCCACCAAAAGTAAACATTGTATTCATCAATTTTATACCCACTCTCCACTAACCATTCATCATCATCCGCTGTTTGCCTCAACGAATCCCAATCTCCATTACTTATTATAACTGCAGTGTCATCCGCAAAACAGTAAATGTCACCCTGTTCCACGTGCACTAATATTCTGTTTTGAGTCCTTTGCAATACTGGCTATTATGTGTTTTTTAAGGGGACAACAGCAAAAATAAAACTAACGACGCTAAAAATTTAAAAAATAACTCCATAAGTCTTTAGATAATCGATCAAAGAATGTTTATGCCAAATTTGAGCCAATTCTGATGTGCCGTTTTTTTTTGCACCTAAGCGTTTCACGTAAATGGGCTTAAGTGCGCATGTAAATGGGGTGCTGTTGCCCCCTTCAAACGTTTAATATTTGAGAACAAATTTTTGCTAAGGCTGGCTGTACACTTGGCCAAACCTAAAACTGGTACAGGCAATATATATTTTTCAAACTTGCCTAGTGTGAGTCAGCCTTAACAACAAAAAGTCTCTTCTGAAATCTCAGGTCAGACAGTTTTTATCAATGTCAAAGCTGAGCAAAAGTAAATGCAACATGTAATTAAAATAGCCAAACAAAAATACTATACTGAACGTATGGATAGCGCAAAAGACAAAATTAAGGAAACGTGGTCTATTGTGAACGACCTCAGGGGAAAAAATAGTGCACAACCTCATATTTCAACCCTAACTCCTAACATATTTAACGAATATTTCTGTTCAATTGCAAAAAATATTACAAAGGATCTCCAATCTGACACAAACCCGCTGGATAGTTTACAGGAATTATATGTCAGAGAGACTTTTGTGATGGAACCGATTAACATAATCGAATTGAAACACACTTTTGCTGAAATTAAAAACAAGAATAGCACAGGTATTGACAATACCTCTATTAGAATTTTTCAGAGCCTCAGTGATGATGTTCTCAGTTTTTTGATGAGGGCGATAAACTTGCATTTTGTGCTCGGCGTATTTCCTGATTGTTTGAAGACTGCTGTTGTTGTACCGTTTCATAAGTCAGGTGCATTTGATGATCCGGCTAGCTTTCGTCCAATATCCTTGCTTCCAACTCTTTCGAAAATTATCGAAAAAATAGTCAAAAAACAGATGCTGCTTTTTGTTGAGACGCATAACATCATCAGTGCCTCTCAGTTCGGCTTTCGAGAATCATTGAGTACGAATGATGCGATATTTTCCCTCCTGGAGAGTTTGTACTTTGACTTGAATGATAAGGAATATGCAACGGCGATCTTTTGCGATTTTTCAAAGGCGTTTGACTGTGTCAATCAAAACATCCTTCTAGAAAAGCTTAAAATTTATGGTTTCAGAGATAAAATCTCTAGTTTTCTTAATTCATATGTAGTGGGAAGAAGCCAAGTGGTTAGAAATGGTCAGACAACATCAGATTTAAAAACACTATCATGTGGGGTACCGCAGGGCTCCGTGCTTGGACCTCTTTTATTTTTGTTGGACATCAACGACCTAGCCAACGTAAGGATAGATGGCTCACTTTTGAATTTTGCAGATGACTCTACAGTGAAATGGCATAGCAAGGACCAGACACTTTTTAAAAACGTAGTAATAAGGGACATACTTAGAATTAAGAACTGGTGTGATGCCAATGATTTTTGCCTTAATATTGATAAAACAAAAATTTTGAGCTTTAAATTTGATATTGATGATATTGAATTGGAGAACGGGATAATTAGGAATGTACAAAGTACAAAGTTTCTTGGGCTCTACGTGGACGACTGATTAAAGTTTGATGTACATGTTGTTGCATTGAATAAGAGACTGGCATCTGGCTGTTATGCTGTGCGAAGGACTTTTTCAGAGTTGGGTTGCAGTATTGCTAAATCTACCTACTATGCACTTATCGAGTCACACTTGAGATACGGCATTTCGTTTTGGGGCTACTGCAGTAGAGGTCTACTTAATTCGGTTTTTACAATACAGAAAAGAGCTATAAGATATATGTGCGGCAAAGGTATGAGAGACCACTGTAGACCGCTCTTTTTGAGAGAGCAGAGTTTGACGGTCGTTTGTTTATTTATATTGGAGACGGTTTGTTTGATATTTAAAAAATATGGGGATTACACTCATGCTCATTCTTACAGTACTCGAAATCGCAACGATGTTCCACTCCCAATTCCTAGATTTGCTTTGACCAGATACTCAGTAATTTTCGAGAGTATTAAGATTTACAATAAACTTCCAAATTATTGTAGGTCTTCTGAAAACTATAGAGGGTTTCGTAGGTCAGTTAAGAATTTACTGAAAGAGAAGGCTTACTATGATTTGGCTGAGTACTATGATGACACTTTCTAGCATGCTAAAAACTTAATGAGCCACTTTATTTATGACTTAGGGCTAATTTTTGCCGTTTGATTTTATTAAACCCCCAGTAACTTTTTGTTTATTGAGTGTAACTATCTGTATTATTTTTTTTTTTTTTTTGATACTTGTTTGTTTTTGGATATTTACAAATTGATTTTAATGGAAATTAGGTAATTATGTATATGTCAAATGTTGTAATATTTGTTGAGTTTATTAGTTTCTGAGCCTGTACGAAAATTGTTGGCCTTATTTGGGCAATTTTTTTTTTGTTTTTTTTTTATTATGTTATTATTATTGTATTTTATTTTGTTTTTTTGTTTGTACTGCTAAATTTATTGTGCTTTGTCTATAAAAAATTTGTATTTTTTCGACAATAAAGCTTATTGAATCTTGAATCTTGAATCTTTTATGTTATGTTTGGTTTAAAGATGACACTGACTTGACTCTTTTTGTCATTTTTGAAGTGATAAAAAGGTCGATTTACACAATACCACAAAATAGAAAAAGACGTACCAGTTGTATGATTGGCCAAGTGTACAATACTTTTATATGTATATAGTAATTTAGACCAGTAGGTGCATTTGTTAAAATTTTTGTTGTTGTTGTTGTTGTTGTATACACAACACTAGAAAAGCCTAATTTTTGATCTATTATAATACCCAAATATTTACATATATTGACATTGACCATTTCAACTTTACTGTTATAAATAAATGCGAATTCTCTCAAACGCAATACCAAAGATATTAAGGACACCAGGTACTCACTTGCCTTTACTTTTCCCTGGTTGGCAGCTTTCTGGAATATTGCTCTGTTGTATGGTCTTTACCGTAAGCGAAAAATTTAGTTATGTGTATCTTTGAACAGGTAAAGCGCTGTCCTACATCAGGAGTAGGAACGGGCCATTCTGCTATGAAACTAAATGTGAAGCCAGTTTTTAGCAGGTGGTTTTACACCAAATGACAGGTAAAGCATTGAATTAGCTATACCGCCATTATTTTGGATCTCCAAACACCTGAAAACGGCTTGAAATTCCAACTTCATGTTCCTACTCCTCCCACCTAGGAAATTACCTGCTCTAAGATGTGTATAGTGAATGCTTTGAACTAAATAGGCTCCAAAAAAAAAAAAAACAATAATCCACAGGTCCGAATTAGAAGAAAATGAACTTGATTATCGTTCAGAGGCAAAAGATCGAGGGAAAGAAATCGCACCGATAAAGGGAAATTTATTTTGAAATATTTTTTCAAATAATCGCATGAAAAGAAAGGTTTTTCCAAAATATTGTCTTTTCCGGACATCTCCATGACTATAAGTATAGCATACCCAGTATGCCCAGCATAAGTATGCTTAAAGTGAATGATGCTAGGTATTCATTCAATCGAGCAAAGTAATCACTGGAAAGCTCGATTAAAACTCAGAAAATTTGTTTAGCGGCATCACCTATATCATTAAATTGCACATAGTTAGAAACACTCGTATAATAATGCCGTTTTGGCCTATTAGGAATAAGGTAAAATCAATTGATTTTTACCCAAATTTATTGTGATATAACCATATGCAAACTGATAGGGACGCTCTTCATTATTATTTTTAGCGTACGTTGCAGCCAGATTCCCTATGGTGGAAATCAGTAGAATCAAGCAGGTTTTGGCTTATAAATGCAAAGAGAATTCGACAGCTTTCAAAATGAAGGCGGTGCGATATTACGGACATAAGTAAGTTTCAATTATTTCTATATTTATTTTTATCATGTACAGTCATGAGCACAAAAAGTGGGACACCCGACTGACAGGTCTTGTCATTTTTCGCTATTTTGCGTAAATCAGTCTTTTCTCTACAATAGATTTTTTGTCAAATATGACAATCCCTGTCATTGCCGTAGGTATAGCTGGTGAGCCCGTTTTACAAAAGGAAAAAACGGGTGTCCCACTTTTTGTGCTCACGACTGTACATGTACTAATTATTCTGATCTGTATATCAAAAGTGTACATTTTTTGATTTCCTCCTTAAAACATCCTTGTTACTTAGAACAATATAGAATATCGGTGGATTGATAGTCCATGAAAACATCATATCATTAAATGTTCCTATTATTAATATTGCTCCTGATTACCATATAAACCAAATTTTGGCCAGAGGTAATTTTTTTTCTTGTGAACTTAGGTACTTATACTGCAGGAGTTTTTATATAAAGGGGTAGAATCCGTGTATGGAAAAATATTTTTCAAAAATAATAATTTATTTTAATAAATTGTTGAAAAATGCAACAAAATGGAACTACAAAATAAAAAAAACTTGAAACAACGGATGTAACCTAGTGGATTCTTCACTTCATAAATAGGTAGGTGAATTCACTTTGACTAGTTCTTAGCTGAAATTTTCTTGGGTATAAATTTGAACCTATACCCAAGCCAAGAAAATTTCAACTAAGTTTATTATTTTTTTTAAATTCAAGGGAAGCCTATCAATAGTGTATTACTTATGGTTGTTGTAATAATTATTATATGTGGGATTGTACAATTTGTTTACTTTATCTCGTATTTTGTGTAAGTATTTAGATATTTTAATATTTGATAAATAAAATGAATTTCTTTATATGGTACCTTTGTGTGTTCTGTGATTAGCTCGTCGCACTCCTATAGCAGTGCATCTTGGACGCATTGGAAGGGATTATTGGCTTATATGCGGAAGGTAAAATAATATTGGTTCAATACAAAAGTTCTATAGAAACCTATTTATAATTTTTCCCACTACAATTTTTGCGGAACTTGTGTCTGTATATTCTTTCATTTTCCAGATAATAATGAGCAAGACAACAAATTCTACCTAATTTTTAAATACGCCTGCGCGGTTGAGCTCCTTGTTTAGCTAGCTTTCGGTTTTGGGTTTTACGACAAGAAAAGACTTCTGACCAAAATTTGGTTCATTTCGTGATCAGTAGAAAAATACCTCGCTGGCTTTTAGACCAGAAAGGCTTGGCAGTCATTTCAAACAACAATTCTCAGCAAACGAAAAAAGTGTATATCTTTGACTTTTCTAAATTCACCAATTACGTCTTCTCTCGTTTCCTGATCATCTGGAAAAAAGTGATTCATATGGCAAAATGCAAAAATGCAACGAATTTGAAATGATATGAATCGGCAATGTTTCCAACTACTTTTGGTTTTCTGGTTTTGTTAGGAGATGACAAATGGCTCTATTTCTTAATTTAGTTTTATAAATTATAAACATTAAAAAAATTCTGAATGGTAATAGGTAATTACATATTTCGTCAAATTTAATTTTTTTCCAGCGAACAACATGGAAAATAAGCCAAACAAGAAAGGTACGTACTGTATCTACTAGATAACTACATAAATACATAATCACAGTGAGATTTGCCAAAAAAAAAATGTAAATGAAACCAAGTGTCAAACTAGTTTTAAGAATTTTAGCGTATTCGACTGACTGCCCATGTGTGGTCTGAGCTCGCATTTTAAATGCGAAGTGCAATAAATCATGTCCGAGTTGATTCAGGTCGTGAGTGAGCAAAAATTTCCTTCATCAAAATTTGTATTTGGACATAGTACGACTGGCGCTCCAACTTTTTGGACCGTGATTTTTGACGGTGCAAATAATTCTACATATAAAAAACTCTCCCACATCACACCTATCGATCCCTCATGTTATTTTTATTTTGTTTCGCATTTGCCTCTCCATTTTTATAAGTGTTTCGCGAAACATAAGTAGCAAAAGAAAACTGCTGCTTATTTTGACTATAAAAACTAAAAACATACATGTTAGCAAGCAGTAGTAGCAGCACAGCTATTCTGGAAGCGATGAAAATGAATTCTTGTTTATTCTCTAGTTTTCCTACAAAGCAGTATAACACTCATGTAGTGCCAAGCTTCAATCAATTAGGTAGTTGAGTGAGTAAGTCAAAACATGTTAAAACTAATGCTAAACATTGATGCTTCCTATGGTGGGGTTACTAGTAATGGTATGACTACTAATGGCTCAAGAAGTAACGCGAGCAGAGCCAACGCCAATAATGAAACTTCCTCTAGCCCAAAAAACAATAATACCAAAAATAACAATCTCAGTAGGGCAACTAACCAATGAACTAAAAGAATATAACAATCAGCATGACCTAGTTGGGTTCAGGAGGTTTTGAAAAAGTGGTTTTCAAATATTCCTATGTTCCACCTCGATTTTGCGCAAAAGTGAATGTCGATATACAAATGTACATGGAGCCAACTCTGAATTTGATCAACTCGAACAATTAGGGCTGGGGAAACACCACTGTGCCCGTTCTTGTTTTAAAGTGCAATAATTGTAGCACGTTCTTGTTTTGAAATTAGCCAAAGAAAGTCCAATGGTAGTCGAATACTCTAAAGAATTATTTATTTTTGTGTTAGAATTTTATTAAGTTAGTTTATTTATTTATTTTAAAGTAGAGTGCGATGTATTGCCTCTACCTATATGTATTGCACCCGGCGGTATATTTTTGACTATTTTGATAGAAAGTGATGTTCTGATGTAGACCAGTTTTATTTATTTTTCATAAAACATTGTAGCCCAGTAATCTTGTTCCTGAAAGGGGCAGGGGGCGGAACAGGGTTACCGTGCGTCAAGCCCCGAAGTTCTGATTTTTTGCTGAGTTGTTAATGAACCGCGAAATTTTTTCGCGTTTTTCAATTTTCGCGTTTTCATGGAGAAATAAATTTCGTACAATTTGAGACCACAACTGTCGTTGCATACCTTATAGTTTCTGAAATACTAGGTTTTCAAGATTTCAGGGAACAGGTTTTCTTGTGGAGATAAATAACTGAAAAACTCCTTTGCGACTAAAATGAAGATCAAGCCAGAAAAAAAGAGACAATAGGGTAGTAGTGGACAATTTTTTGAAATATTTTTTTTATTAATCTTCATAGCAAAATAAACAAGTGTTGATGATTCTTTGATTTTAGAAAACAAAAATATACGTAAAAAAAAATTAACAAATTTGTACTTATTTTAAACTCTATAATTTACCGCCAGGAAATTACGTCATAGTTGTGATGTATTTCCAATAGCGTGTCTTTATATTTTACGTGCTTTTAGAAAAAGATGCCGATAAACTCAGTGCGCACTGATTGACAAATAGAATTCTCTCAAAAAGTGGGGTTATGTTGAGGGTGCGCCTAAATGTAATAATACTCGAGAGACGCTGATATATCTCTCTTTTTTGCACTAAAGAGTAAGTTTGTGTCGAATATCGGACGTAGGTTTTATTTAATTCATACTTAAATACAACAGCTATGACGTAGAATCAGGGCGCGAAATATTTCCGTTCAAATATTGCGTCCCAAAACTCTACTTTTACCGCCGTTTTAAACAAGGTTAGTAATTTTACCTGAAATTTCTTTTGATACGAATATTTTTTATTTACTCCATAGATGAAGAATAGATCATCGATTTCATTGAAATTATACCTTGTCCACTACCCTATTCACTATATTTATTGTATAGTTATTTCAATTTTGAATACATTTTTTGGAATTGAGATTAAAATCTGTCACACTTCTCATTTTCTTTCAACCTATTAAATAATATTCCCGAAGCGAACAACAAAATATAGCTAAACATTTCAGTTGATAAATTTTGAAAAGTTGTATTTTGGAAACTAAGTAACTACCTCTACATATATTGGCTCTACAGAGTTTTAGTGTCAAACTCAAATTGTAGATTATTTAGTTTTCCTTGAAAACGTATCTCCTGTTAGTTATCATCAATATTATCGAAAAACTAGTCCTTCGGAGATAAGATCGGAAACTTGGATTATTCATTGAGCCAATATCATAAACAACTTAGCAAAAAATTAGAGCTACCGGCTTTGACGCATGGTCTGATAGTTGGTTACTGACTGGATTACTGGTACTTCCACCACCTATAATCGTGTGGGAATCAACCCGAAAACTTTAAATTGAAATAATTAAACATATAGTCTTACTCACGAAAGATGACGATTACGTGACAAAAGATTCTTGTTAGCTCAGAACTCGTTATTTGAAACTTATAGCGTTTTCTGTTGGTAAAACTCGTGCTGTCCGAGTTCTGCACTCAACACTGAATCAGTTCACGTTTAGTGCAATCTCAAAAGAACATGAATTTGGCGCGTTTTGTCATTCTTTTAAAATTTATTATTTAACGATCCCTGATCCCTAACCTAACCTAAAGACATTTTCAATGGAATAAAAATTAAAAACGTTTGTGTGTATGAAAAAGTTGAAAACGGAAGTTTTTCCTGTATGTAAAGTACATAATGGGCTCTTTCACTAATTTTTGAAATTGGCATATTTGGATAAAGCAACTAAAAACAGAATTTTCTGTATTTTTACTTTTGAAAAATTCATAGTCCTTCTTGAGAAAACAGAAAAGAAAGAAATACCTCCAAATAAAAACCCAGAATTTATTTCTATGACGTCGCAGCTCGCTATTTGACCGTGTTGCCACTAATTGTCAACATTGAAAATTTGTAATAGATTTAATTCTGAAATGTTCCCAAAATATCATGAAAAGTAGTTAAATTAATTAGTTATGGATTCAAGATTTTATAACATTTTTATTGAAATTATGCTTAAACACAATTTAATATAATTTTCTATGTTTAGTTTTATTTATTTATTTTACGTTGCACTACATTTAGTCACCACCGACAACAGCGCATTCGAACCTTTACCTGCATTTACTACAGGATAAATACAGCAGAGGCGGACAGCTCTTCGCAACAACAAGCGAAATGAAAAATATTTATGCGACGTCAGCAAATCGGCGCGTTTTTAAATAATTCAAATTTTGGTAGTTTAAAATGCCTGTAAAAAACTTATTTAACCTTGTAGAACATTTTTTTTTGGTATATGTGCCTAAAATAGTCCCTCCTTTGGGATTTTATACCTAAATTACGTATTTAAATTTTAGTGAAAGAGCCCATTATGCTGTCTCCCGAGATGTGCAGAAATAATTCCAATGATACCTGCGTTGAAATTAATTTTTATGTCAATTTCAATAATAAAATTTTGAATTTTTTGTATCTCATTATCCCTGGCAAACATTCAGGCCTATGATGTATTCTGTCCTGTTATTTCAACGTCTGTGTTAAGGCTCAACATCTATTTCTGTCTCTATTTTGATGTTGCTGCTAAAATAACAGAAAATGATACATCATAGGCCTGCGATTGTATATAATATAATAGATCCAATTAAATTTCATTGGTTGAAAACAGTCAGAAAACTAGTTTTAAGTTAAAACTAGTTTTCTGACTGTTTTCAACCAATGAAATTCACTCTGACTGGTTTATGATTTCTGCAGAAACAGACCTAATAATTCTTCCTCTTCATCGCTGTCGCTCGACGAAGATAAAAAATATAGAATTTTATCAATATCGATATCCATAATTTTTTGGTTTTGTTTATACACAGACTTTTCGGCACTTTACGCCATTTTTGTTGTGCCCTGACATTGGCACGAGCTCTCTGACCTCGTGCTGGAAAAGTTGCACGAGGGCAATAATTGATTGCCCTGGTTTTCCAATAGAACATAAAAACCCGCTCGGAAACTGCCAACAGAACATAATTTTTGCATGAGTGCAGCACGAGTTTTACCAACAGAAAACGGTATTACACTGTGTCTGACAGAGATCTCTCGACTATTTTGTGTGCAGAAAATGAGTAAACGTATTTACCATAAGCTGGAAAGAGATCCGTTTGTTGTAGAAGCGCGTAAAGAATATTTATGTAGTATGTACATTACATTCGCCATTGCGTAAGATTATAAATCGTTATTTCCGAGACATGCGTGCATTAATTAATTCGTAGGAATTATATTTGTCACGTGATCGTGTCAGATGTTATATCGAGTATTCTATCTGACAGAAAAAACATTGTTAATTTAATTTGTTGATATTGTAGGGGTGAGCCCCTTCAGATCTACATACCTCAATTAGCTATAAGATATAGTGAAACCCGTTAATATTTTATTGTTATATATGTTGAAGTTTGGTTTATTGAAGGTTTGAACTCAATAAAGATGTATATTATATCCATATTGTTTCACTGTTTTTCTTTTTCGTATTCCTTTATGCAACATTTTCAGTCGAGAAGTCTTGGACAAATTATGTATAGGGACCTACCTCAAATAAGAAAACAAACACAATATATGGTGAGTGTTCACCGGAACTCTTTCGTAAATTTATGCATTATGGAAAGGTGTATTTGCAGTGGGGAATATACTGTATATATGAAGACCTAAGCATCATCAGATGCTTTAAATGTCAGGGTCATTATCACAAAAACACTGACTGTCCAAATGAAATCATTTGTGAATACTGCGCCGGCACTCATGATGTTCGCGAGTGTCCCAAATCTCCCAAAAAATGTATAAACTGTGAAAAGGCTAACCAAAGATATAAGACTTCCTATGACATATACCATGAAGCCAGCAATGCTGAATGTCCATCTTACATGCATCTGTTAGATATTCTGAAGAGTAAAATTGATTATGGACAATCCTGATGGCGGTACTGGGGTATCATAAAAGTGTTTCTAATCAGTCTTTTTTAACCATTGCTAATCTAAATGTAAGATCTCTATTACCTAGTTTTGTAAGTTTTCGTGATTTGATAGGAAATTCATATGATATTGTTTGTGTAACAGAAACATGGCTTAATCCTTATATTACGTCTGAATTAGTGTCACTGCCTGATTTTACTTTTTGCAGAGAGGATAGAAGGGGTAGAGTCGGTGGTGGTCTTGGCGTATTTCTCAGATCTACCATTTCTCATGAAATTGTGAGTATTAATTTGAACAATGTGAGCTTTGAGGGCATGCTTCTGAACTTGAGGGTTGGTATACTTGCAAAATTGCTTTGCTGATTGTTTATAGACCCCCTAATACTAGAGTGACAGAAATTATTGATTTCCTTGAGGGCATCATCCCCCAATTGTTGTCTGATTTTTATTTTTCTATTATTACAGGAGATCTTAATGTTGATATGCTTAAACCTAACTCTTTGTTTGACATCCTTTACACTTACGGTTATTCTCAGCTAATTGATGAACCAACTCGCATAACAAACACATCATGTACATGTTTAGATCCTATTTTTATTAATTCCAAGGATGTTTGTCTGAATAGTGGTACTGTCCCATCAGATACCGTCAAACGGGGTTAAGTGAATCAAAAATTGCGGTTTGTTGATATCTTCGAAGCTATCAGGACGAAAAATATGCAAAAAATAATGTATATTCTAGCACCCTTCCCAAAGGATTCAACAACATATTGGCCCTTTTTGTGTATGGGAACCGCCCTTTTTTCTGGGTCAAAGGTTGATTCACTTTACCCACCATTGTGGGGTAAAGTGAATCACCCATTTAAATTGGCGTTTTATTCACTTAAGACAAATACTGGGTAAAGTATGAACCAGTTCACAAGGTTTAAAGAAGTGTATTTCGTTCAAAAAATAGGTTTAACACAAGAATCGGTTTAACACAAAAAAAGAACATTCTCCGCTAATTTAACGGTCAGTTTTGGACGTCGTTTCATAAATAATTCAAACCAGTCGTCCAATCGAGTCCTGGAAGATTGTCTTTGAATCTTTTTTCAGTTAGTCCCAACTTGTTGAGATATTGTTGCTCAATTTCCTTGATATCATTTGATTTTAGAGGAAACCCCCACTGTGTGCACTATGCATATTTGGAGAGAGAGTCCTTAATTCGAGCTTCTTGTTCCTCATTTAGCACAGACTGGCGACCATTTTTTAAAGAGTGGATTCGATGAATAGTGCTAAACGGCATTCCAGATTGCTTAGAAGTTTTGCGTATGGACAAGCTTCCCCGTCAGACCGCCGCCACTGCTCTTTCTACGTGAAGTTTGTCGTAATTGTATTTGCCCTGAGGCCCCAACTTTTTTTTGTAGTTTCTAGGCATTTTAAAAGGGGGGAGGAAATAGGGGTAGTTCTCGTTGCAATCTTTTAAACAAAATTATTCCGATAAAACTAATATTAATTTACTCTCCTGTTCATTCTTGTTTATTTTTGTTTCATTTTGCAGCTGATTCATTTTACCCCCTGTTGTGTTCATTTTAGGTTAAACAAATCATATTCATGCGACCATATAACTGAAATCAAAAAAACCTCCGGGAATATGTTGCCAACATGACTGGGTTACACTTGTTATCAGTCATATATATCCGGAACACATACTCCTTTGCTCCTGCAACTAAACCTTTTCCACTTTTACCCATATCACAAAAAAGCGTGCGTTTGAAATACGTTCATGCTGGCTCTCATATTTTCGAAACCGAATGCATACTACCTCACCAACATCAGTAAGTAAAAGTCACATACGAATATCATGCGAACACCGCAAAGGGCTCAAAAATAAGGAGTCTGCGCATTAAAATTTGACAACCTATCCGGGTGATTCATTTTACCCATACTGATTCACTTAACCCCGTTTGACGGTATTAGCGATCACAATGAAATGTCTGTATGCTCTTTAAGCATAGTAGTTATAAGAAACCAAAGGAAAAATTTATTGAGCTAAGCGATTTTAAAAACTTTGATCTGCATGAGTTTCAAGCGAATTTAACGTGTATTCCATGGAACAATATTTTTCATATCCGTAACTTAAATGACAAAGTTTGGTTTTTAGAACAGAACATTATTAATTTATTTAATATCCATGCTCCTTGTAGGATCATCAGGGTTAGCAAAAAACCTTCTCCCTGGTAGTCGATTCTCGAATTTGGTAGAAGTGAACGTTCCCATAAGAGAAGTGAGAGATCACATCGCACGCTCGTTCTCTTGGTGCCAAAGTTGGTATTCTCGAACGTATAGGATTATGATAGAATGAGAGAAAACTTGTCAAATCATAATGCGTTGTTGCCAACAGTAATATGTAGAATTAGCCACAATTTTAGTGCGTTAAAAGGACGAATGTCATGAGAAAGAAGAAAATCAGTTTATTTATTTGTGTTTAGGGACGTAACCAACCTCATTATTTGCTTATTTATTCGAAATATAATGATAAACTTCAAAGTGGAAGGCTAAAGGCTACGGTCGACATTACGGACAGTAATTTTGTCATTTTTTCCGTAAAGATTCAATAAAACCATAATATTTTATCAGTTGTTTGCCTTCTATAATAGGTGTCCACTAACCTATTTGAAGCACCAATAATTATTAAAATACATTTGTAAGCTAGGAAATTAACAAAGAAAAGGTTTTTCACGTTTTTGGTGAATTTACGCTTCCAAGGATCTTCTTTGAAGGTGTTTTTGAAAAGAGGTTTTTCACGTTTTCGATGGATTTGCGTTTTCGAGGATCTTCACTTTGAGATTTGGTGAGCGGAGCGAGCAGTTCTAGACTTAAAAATGTTTTACATTTCAAGAACTGGTTATTTGAAAATGGTTTTTCGCTTTTTTGGTTGATTTACGTTTTCGAGGATATTCTCTTTGAGATTTGGCGAGCGGAGCGAGCAATCGAAAACTCAAAATTAAAATAAATTTTGAGGTGTTATATTTTAAAACGTTTTTCGCTTTTTTGGTTGATTTACGTTTTCGAGGATATTCTCTTTGAGATTCGGCGAGCGAAGCGAGCATTTGATTGGAGACACAAAAATAATTGAAAGTTTATAAGGTGTTATTTAAAAAAGATGTTCACATCAAACAAAAAAATACAATGGATGATGACTGTAGAATTGACAAAAAGCGCATGTTTGACGTTTAGTTCTCCCGAGAACAGACGTTCTCTTCAAAAAAAGTAGTAGAATAAAATTCTCTCAACTTTCATAGGAAGTGAACGGTCCCTAATTTCGAGAATACGTCGTAATAGATTTTAATAGAAACCACGCGTACTTTTCCTATGAGAACAGGGATCACACGATTCGAGAATCGCCGTCCTGGTTGACTGACACCTGTTTTGTATTCACTAATCATCAATAAAACTCATTTTTGTGTAATTACTTTTTATTATCATTGTTGTTGTTCTTTCCTGTGTGGGGCCCAGTGCCGCCGACTCTGACGTATGTAATTGAGGTTAGGTTGGGTTGCCCGTTGGCGCCCTTCTGCCAAACGTCACATACAACACATCTTCCCCTTTAAGTTCAAAAATTAATAGAAATTACATTTTTTTTTTTTTTTTTTGAAAATTAACTCAAACTATAAACTGAAATACACATTCTAAAAACCAACAGAAACTAGAATGTTTACAAAATATTTACAAAACATAATCTGAAAAATGTTTAGGTGTCCGTATTTGACGACCTGACCTAGAAATAACATTAGAAAAGTGATTCGCACTTGATTCAGTTCCTGTTCCTACATTAGGTTCACAGTATTCAGAATTATTATAAAAATGTTCTGTAACATCAGGTTTTATAGTCTACTTTATTTTGATTTTCCCTTATTTTAGAGATCGCATCATTACAAACTACCTTCGGTTGCAGAACAGCGTCAGACATTGGCAAATTTGACCTTAACAGTCTACTCATTAACATTTCACTAGGAGCAAATTCCAAACTAGCCACAGGAGTTGTTCTATATTGTAATAAAGCATCATATATTTCTGACTCACTATTACATTTTTTAATTATTGATTTCGCAATACCCACTGCTTTCTCTGCCATTCCATTGCTTTTCGGATGGTAGGGACTACTAAACAATATCTGAATGTCATGGTCTTTTGCGAACAATTTAAATACGAAACTATTAAAAGGACTATTATCACACACAATAAATTTTGGATAACCATGTATACAAAATATTGATTTTAATTTTGGAATAATTTCTGAAATAGCTTTTGATTTAATAAATATTATCTCAAACCATTTAGAGAAATAATCTACTACTATCAAATATGATATATATCCATCCCCAATTTTGCAAAAGGCAAATCTGGTATACTATGGCAAATCAGTGGTTCAGAAATACATGACCTTTGAAACTTTTCACATTTTTTACATTTTCTGACATATTGCTCAATTTGTTCATTGAAACAGTACCAATATAGTAGTTTTCGTGCTCGTTGCTTACTCTTTACAATTCCAA